CAGGAATTCATATTAAGAATCCTGCTATCTGGTATAAAAATGATGGGGCATGATTAAGGGGAAAATGACAGAGGAAGTCAAAATCAATTGATATTTTTATCCCACCTCATCCAAAAGCACAGTCATATTGCCTATGAATTTTAAACCTGTACCATGCATGGAGGAAAGTATTCAATATAATAATATTCTGCGCTATTAGGTCCTTCTCAAACCCCATGTCATTAGGTTTGAAAATGTTGGTAGTATGGTTTACAGTTTCATCAAGGCTGAGGTGACTAATAGTAGATGTTGTTGATAATGCATAAAAAAATGCACACCCAGTGGTAGAAAAAATGTTGGAGAGACAGTATCTACTACAGTGTATAAAGATATATAAATTACAAATAAAGCTACACACATTCAAAAACAGTGCATTAAAAATATAAGATTATTCTATTAAGCAGTCAAAAGTTAACAAGTATCAGTTGAGCTTGCCTTTCATGGATCCATCATGATACAAACTTGAATGATTTGTTTGCATGCTATTATTTCTTCTTTTTATTGGCAAACAAATTTATGGAAATCCTCAACTACTGTACAGTTTTATAAAATCACTTAAAATATTTATTCTCTTCACTTGGAAATATCTCATTTGCTATAGTATTCCTTCACTTGAACATATTTCTTGGATTTGTCATGTTTTTTAGCTTTCTTACACAGTGTAGTCTGATTATTTGCACAGAATCAAAGTTGGCAGAATATGTTTGTTCTTGAATTACTGTGTACACACATCTTACATCTATGGTAGTTCATGCCCGATATCAGTCACATGTCATTAATTTTAATTGGGCTTGTGTTGCTATCTGAATTGTAAGTTCAATGCAACAGAATGAACAAATGTGACAAATGAACACCCAGCATTATTTTGCCTTGTTATGCTGAATAATGTAACATGTGGAAAACAAATGTATGTTCTGAAATGTTTTTCTCTTTAGCGATTTAGATCCATACAATTATACATCATATTGGAATCCACCTAATCTTAGGAACTGCACAGGTAAGTAGATTGTCTTTTATATCCA